GGCAGCCCCTGGCCTCATGTGTGTATTGAGCACCTGAAATAGGGCTAGTGAGACTGAGCAACTGAATTTTTAAGCTTATTTAAGTTTAACTAATTAAAACTTAAATAGCCACATATGGTTGGTGGCTCCCACAATAGATATTGCAGATTCAAAGAAAACCAAAATCCACACCTTTTCACTCTTTCAGAGTTGCCTTTAAAAGAGGAAGAGGAAACCTTCAGTCAATATGGAAGATGGCTGAGATATGAGGATACACTTTAATACCCCAAACACAAAAATTCCAAATTAAAAAACCAAACAAATAAAACCACAAAAGAAAATCAAAACACTAGTAATCTCAAATCCAGAAAGGAAGATCTCCGGGCACAAATGATACGGTGATGCAAGTGAGGGTGGTGCTCCGTGAGCAGGCGGAGAAGCCACGATGCCCATGGGGGCCGAGGATGGATATGCACCTGGGGGCTGGGGTTTGAGGACCTGGTCAGGGACAGGAGTTGATGAGAGTAGCACTGAGTTCCCTGCTCAAAGTCAGAATCTAAGAAAGGAAAGTTTTCTCCACCAATATGTCTTGAAAAACTGTCCACTTGGTGGGCCCAGGACTGGGATGTCTGCCCCGGCTGTGGCAGTAAGCGAATCACCAGAGAGAAATGAGCATGCATGATGCTCTGCTGCAGCCCCAAGGAAGGTGGCACAGTAAGTCTGAGCTCAGCAGCTAGCTGAAGACTGGCCTTGTGTAATCCAGATTTCAGCAGAGGCAACGCCTCCCAACCCGGGATGTGACCGAGTCTCTCAACAAAGGCAACTCCTGCTGAAGATGAGCTCACAGACAAATCTTATAAAACACACAAGAGGCCTGGCTAGTGGGCTCACTTGGACAGCGTGCTGCTGGTAACACCACGTTCAAGGGTTCAGATAACCCTTTTCAGTCAGCTTCCAAAAAACACAAAATCAAAACAAACTCATGAGAAAACGTGCTGCAGTAAGCATGAGCAAAAGCAACCATGGAGGAAGCAGAGATTGCTTAACTGAGAATCCGCAAGTGGCTTTAAAATATGTAGTTTAGGGC